ATCAAGCATGTGAAGAGACTCAATTCTTCCTACCAAGCCTCATGATGTAACAAGCACAAGGAAGAAGGAATAGTGGCTTTGAATCCATCTGGGTCCTGGGCCCCAACAGCCTCCAACGCTCTACCCAAAAGCCTCCAAACACCCATGGACCGTGCATGCACCATCAGCACTTAAGGCTGGATGCACAATCCAGTGAACTCATTACTACTTCCTTCATTAGTCTCATCTTCGGTAATGAGCTACTGAGATTTTCAAAACCACATGAGCTCACTCCCTAATTTCTTCAAGAGTAATTGGACAACACATCCGCGTGATGCAGGTCACAAGATGACAAAAAATGAGATGCCTTTCCTACATGTCATCTTAGTATTTGTCCACTGCATTTAGTTCATCTGGTTTGGGAAAGTGTTGCTTCTCCAAGTAAGAGGCACCCATGGCAAATACAAGGTCCAGTTCTACACAGATAGATTACAGCCCCACCACAGAGGCCTGATCTTTCTCAATCAAAACTTTCTTTAAAAAATAAAAATAAAAATAAAGAAGTTAGATACGCTACAGAGCGATCTATGTATCATTTAATTATATAGCTTAAGAGTCTTTATTCAAAGGAAGATTTGAAGAAGACAAGATGATGCATCACGGCCATGAAAACACATTTTATAGTTGGGCCAAAGGGAGAGCCCTTGAACTGGACCTAAGGAATTGCCTCAGTTAATCTAGGTGCAGGATTTGGCCTGTTTAGAGGAAGTAAAGACTTGTTCACTCATCCTCTTGTCAACAGTTGTTCTCAACAAGTCTTGTTAGTAAATGTTGTTCCATTTAAAGATTAAGTACAAAATTTGCTATCGGTCACACATGTAAAATTTAACTTGGTACATGGAGTTTTCATTATAAAAAAGTTCTTACTTTTATACAGCTTCTCTTTTCAAAATCAACATCCTTGTTTTCAAAAGAGACAATATGAAAGCTTTGCAGGAAGAAAAAACAAACAACAATAACAACAAAATTATTGTAACATGGAATTGAAACAAAACTAAAAAGTCTGTTCACATGAATTCCCTTGAAGGGTTACTAAATCTGGAAAAAAGAATAACATAAATTTATAGCCATTTGTGAATTTAATTTGCTAGAAAAGAGTAAGCAATTTTGGTGCATCAAACTGCTATTTGGAAGTTTGCCTGGGCTGTATAGAGGGGGGATGTGAGAAATTTGCCCTATTTTTACAGTTGAAAGCTTCATTGACTCACACAAGATACTTTAGACTAATATCCTGTGGCATCACAGTGACCTACATGTAATTATTGCATACTTTTTCCAAAATATTTGTACACAACCAAAAATTATAACCTAAGTTACCAACCAGTTCTTAGTTTATACCAGCAACACAAAGATGGACTTCAATTAGTGGTAACCTTGCTGTCTGATGCTTTTAGCAATTTTTTAGATGAACGTTTGGTCTCGATTTGCTGTAATTTTCTGGTCACTGTTTTTCCTACACAAACATATTTATCCGGTTAAGTAAATGATGTTTTAAAACTTGCAGCTGTCCTTCCTCCATACCCGCAATCGGTGCCCCCTCAGACATGCAGTGATTTCATGTTTGTAGGTGTGCACACTTCTCACAAAGACAGACAGGGGAAAAAGGGTCTCACAGTGCCCCATTGGGCAGGACTTCCTTCCTGTTCCTGCCTTCACCTGTTCCTCCCAGGGCAGAAAGCAGGGGCACTGAGGCAGCTGTGAGATCTGCTGGAGTTTCGCTTGGCTGGTGGCCAGGCGTTGTGGGGAAGGCGGATGGGTGGTGCTTGAAGGACATGATAAAGATAGGAACACTTAGTCCCGCAGTCTCTCCAGCCACAGCTCGCCTGCCAAAGCTCACGGACAAAACTTACTCAGTTCAGACGTTTAGTTCGTACTTTATGTTTAGAAAAAGAACTTAAAAGCTTTTTGGTTACTGCTTGAAGGGTCATCATTTTTCCAAACGTGAGATGTCTGAAGTATCTTGCTCACCACATCAGTAGCTGATGAAATTACAACCATTTGCAGTTATGTTTTTTCTTAAGTAGCTATTGATTCAGCAGCCCAGGTAGTCAGTTTTTCCCACTCCTTGTGCTCACAACCTTGTTGACTTCAGAGATGCTAATTTATACAGAACTGCCTGGGTTGACATCTAAAACTTCTCAGAATAAAATTTAGCGTAAAATGGGCTTTTTCTACGTTCAGAATTGTAAGAAAGGATAATAACACTAATCCTCCTAGGAGCACTTGTCTGTTTAACTACAACACATTTTTTAACCTCTCATGCTAGGAAGTGTTTGGTCACACAGCTGTATTAGCTCAGACCTGCCCCACACCACGGATGTTCGTCAGGGCAGCCAGCAAACAATATTTCCACTTCATTCTGCATCCCAAGATGACTTGGGAACCTCTAGATTGACCTCTCTCTATTCTGCTAGATAGAAGCTGACCAAAGGCAACATTTTGCCCATGCCACCCACATGCTTTGACATAACTTGTGATTAGAGCTTTTGGGGCTCAGCAGTACAGGCTGCAACTGCTCTTTGCCTGTTTGTCCCCAAAGGCTCAGCAGGCTGCAGGGAATCCCTTTTCATTAACACATCGCATAACCCATATAAGCAGAACAGCTCATTCCAATCTCCAATTTTAATCCTTGTTTATAACCTGCATGCAGAGAACCTTACATTAAGCATCATTATGTTTGATCGTGGTTTGCATTCAGCATTCTAAATCTATAGCTTGTATTCAAGTTTTTAGTTGGTGGTGGGTTTTTTTGTTTGTTTGTTTGTTTTTGATATGGCTCATTTTCACTAAATGCTGGCCAATGAAATGTGTTTTTGCAATCCTCCTTTAACTAAACTTGTCATTTACTCTGTTAACCAGTAGCTTATAACCCACTTATCTAAACAAAAGTGTATCCTAAAATAATATATCAAAATTCCCAAAGTTTACCTTCTTTTTTTTTTTTTTTTAATTGGATGAAAGTACAAAAATTTGTAACATTTCTCAAGATTTTTTTTTTTTAACCAATTATGTTTCCAGATTCTGTTGAATGGCATTACAACTGGATTAAATATAATTAAGGTGCTGTGGGGAGGCTGAATAGGCAGGTTTTTTTGTTATCCTGCAATACTTCACATTTATCTGAGATATCTGATATATTAAAAATGTTTCTCTTCATGAAGAAACAATTCACCAATTCACTTCTTTTAATTATATCAATATTCTAAAGCTAGAGGATTTTTCAGTTCTGTTTCTACTATTTCATAGAAGAAAATGATGACTTCCTGCCTTTCCTTTGGTCTAAGCGAGTGTTTCTTATTTGCCTCTAATCAGTTGATAAACTGAAATGAGCAGTATATTTGCATCTATAGAAGTATTACTGCCTAAATGTTTCAGCTCCTCCTCTTATACCCTACAACTTTCACAATTTGAATGGTTTGTCTTTGATTAAAAATTTAGCAGCATGCACAGCTACACAATGTAAGTATGTATTTTATTTTAGTCCTTGGAATGGTTTGTCACAATTTATCATTCTAAGATTAAGTATATTTTTAACAGAAAATTATGAAGTAGAATTTAGAAAAAAATGCTTTTATCAGTCTTCATAGCCACTTCCTTACACATGCTAAGGGTATGTTTACTTTTATTCTTAGACACTGTTAAACCCCTAGTTTCTAAATATCACCGAAAAATGACACACAGATATTTAAGATTCTAAGGGCTTTGTAGAGCAATTCTTTTGGTGGCATGGTAAGATCTAGTGAAACAAAAATAAAAAGCAAAGAATCCCTGAAACTGAGAAATATTTAGAAAGATAAATGCAGGTTCATCTGTAACTTTAGCTTGCTTCCAAAAGCTGCCATGCTGTTGGCAGCAGCCAGCACACACAAGAGAATTGCCCATTATTTTCTCTCCCCAGAGTCATATTACCACTACCTTGGCAGAACAGCCTCTCTGCTTAGCGTTTAGTGAGGACTCTCACAAGACCACATTAAATTTATAACTGCATGACTCAGTTTTCTCTACAGGCATTGTTTGGTTATCTATCTCAACTTTTATATGTGTAAGAAATACTGCAAAACCAAAGAAGATGCACTGTATCTTTCAAGAAACCTGGCAGCTGTTTACAGAGATATAAAATAATGCAGAATATACAGGACTATATGTTATGGTCTACTGCTTGTAGCTGAACCACCTCCCCAAACCCTTTTATCAGCCATACCAAGCATAGGAACTATTTACAAACTAAACCAGCAGCAATACAGAACAACATCATGTTTGTGATTACTCAAGTGCAAACCCATTTTAAGACAGTATTCAGTATAAGCAACACTTTGTTGTTTTTGTGTTGGTTTTTGTTTGTTTTTTAAATCCCTGTGCAAGACAGCATAGTTTACAAAATTGTGAAGAACTTCATTGTAATGGACTTGGGAAGCTACTCAACCATGGGACAGTTCTGCTCATTGGTCCCATTAGAAGGAACTGTGCCTAGCTACATGCTCTAAGAAGTGTATTTTGCTTCCTGAAGAACATCGAAACAACAAGGCACAATGTCCTTAAAGAAAACAGACAGCTACTTATAGAGGCAATGAATTTTAAATGGAAACAGGTTGTTAAATGGCTTTGAGGCAACAAGACTGCGTTGTGTAACATTCACAGATGCTGCTTCAATCCTAACCTGACATCTGAATTAGTAAGTCATTACCTTGGATAATGAAATTCCAAAGATATTAGGCATTACTGCTTCATTGACAACATGCATATGCTTGATAAAGACTTGCTTTACTCTTACGAACCTTTAACAAGAAACAAAAACTTTGAAGCCTCTCTGTAGATGTTCTCTTGCCAGTGCTGCCCTACTCACAGACAAAGCCTGCGGACGCATCTAGGCATCTGGAAACCTAGTCTCTGCCTTCAAAATGGAATTGTTCATTGCGAGTTTGAACACTAACATATGACAGAAAGCTTTGTTCCATACTTACATGCTTATTAGCAGGTTGACTCTGAGGTAAAGATCCAGGGGCCAGCACGGGAGAACTTGCGGGACTACAGAGCTCTGGAAATGGATTGGGTATGGCTGGCAATGACGATGTTCTGAATTGCTGTTCTTCTTCTTGTAGACGCCTACAGACATAGAAGCATTAAGAGGAGCAAACTGGCATGACCAGGCCTGTATCTCCTGCTCCACCATTCAGTGTACTAACATTAAAAAAAGAGAAAGAAAATGACACCTCTATAGCTACAGCAATGGCAAGCCCAATTTAGGTAACTGTATGTGAAAAAACAACCAGTCACGCATCTGGTTTGTTTTGTTGTTTATAACTCGATCACTTGGGTGAATAAATAAGGTAAGCATGCACAAAAAGTAAACAGAAATATCAGTCTATAGCCTCTGTTGTAAGCACTAACTTACAGGCTTAAGCGCCGTGTGTCAGAAAGTCAGTTAAGATCTTCAAACTGACCTAAAAAGGAGGAGGACATAACTGCAGTAATTTGGAGACAAATTCCACATGGATCTGCAAACAAACATGTCTCCCAGTAAAGCAGGTAGGCTGAGGTTGAAGTAGATACTGACACTTCGTTACAATATGACATTCTATTTCTAAGCAATTCAGCTTGAGCAATAAACTGCAATTACACTATCCTATCTTATGCTACTTCTAAGATTACTGTTCAGACAAGTTTTATATGGATCTTCTGAGATGCATCTCATTAAGTCTAACTAGGACCAAGACAATTTCAAGTTCCAGTTTGCAGTACACCTGTACTGCTCACACTAACTGAAGGTCTACTAGTTAGCACAGTAATGTTAGAAAAGATGTAACACCTATTCATAACCATACAGACTGCTTTAAGTTTCCTACTGGTCCTGATACTAGGTGACTCTACGTCAAGTTTGCCTCTAACTCCTTTGCAGAATGCACCACCTAGTGGCAACTGTAAAAGTTTTCAAAGGCAATCAACTAACTCCTGTATTTGAAATGCAAATTACTCAAAAATTAATTTGGCTACTTTTTTTTTCCATATGTTCTTCAGCCTACTACCTTCAGCAAGCTCTTATCAGAGCCCTCTTGGACACAGCTGTTGGTTTTGCCTCTAGTAACATGTCCCATTTTGAGTACACGTTTTCTATGCCTACACCAGAACTGCAGCGCTGATAAAATCACTAACACGGAATCTGCTCCACAGGTAATTCTATCCCCTAATTAAGTTGCCTTGGTATTCCATGAATGACCCAATAGTTTTGTTTCTTGCTGCCAGTAGCAGGTTCCAACTGTAACTATGGGTTACGGAAATGACTGCTTCCTTTTTTTGTGCTACCCGTGTGCACACTTCTGTAAAGCATGAAGTAAATAATTGTGTAAGATCTCTTTAGCACAGTGGACTTAACGTTTCAGCAACTGTGTAATAGTTCTTTGAATCGCAAATTTTGGACTACATGTTTGCAATGATCCTCATTATAAGAACTGGAATTACAGATTACAGAAATTAGACAATGCTGCACTCTGCTCTGTCTAGAATACTGCCATGCATCATTTATTTTATTACTGAGCTAAACATAAGGCAGTACTTTCAAGAGTAATAACCATTGTGTTGTGGCTGAGGAAAAGACACAGCCACTGCCTGGTACTAGAAAGATGTCTAGTTAAATCTGAATAAAAGTTTTGCCATTATTTTCTTCAGTGTTAAACACGTGATACTCCATAGGATTTACAGAAGCGCAGAGTTCAGAAAGCTGGAGTGTCTTTCAAAGAAAGCGTCAAAGTTTAGAAATGCCAAAAACAATTAAATGGAGTGCTTTGACTAAGATACTTAGAACAAAACATGAATTGTACTGCTCTAGAGAGCGAATTTGTTAATATAGCACTATTCAAGGTTAAATTCTGAAACTTGTAAAAACAACTGCATCATTAACTGACTTGGCTGTAGTAAGCAGTAACTGCATACTACACTTTCATATAGCAAATCTGCCTGTCTTAAGAATATAATTCCCATAGGAAATACATCAGTGTAAAGAATTAGGAGCAATCCTTATTAGATCTTGGATTTTTCATCTATTATTATTGCTCCCCACTTGTCTCAGAGAAGCCTTTGTCAGCTAGAAGGAAAAGAAAACTCCAAATATACCTGATTCAAGAAATGTACCTGCACATACTGACCTTTCTTAAAAAGATTTTAAGAATCTCAATGTTATCTACAAACTCTCCAGTTATCACCAGTCTGTGCTGTAGAGTATTCCACTTTAAGCTTGAATCCAAGTCCCCATCCTGACAACAGAAAGACAACCTAAACACTTCTTTTTCTGCAATGTCTACCATAACACACTCAAGTGAAATAGAGTGCTTAAGAAGAATGGTTAAAGAAGTATAATAGGTTCATATTTATTGTCTTGGACCTAACAGGAAGCTCCACTAAGATGGGCATTTTTATATATCAAAACCAGTTGAATGCAACTTCATCTAACTACTCACCATGATATATAAAGTCAAAAAGCCATTAATTGTCAGTACTGCTGGCAGAACAGCATTTGGATTTGTTTCCAAACATGGACATTGCTTCTGAAAATTGATATCAATACTATGCTTCTATGCATGTCTGCTATCAAAGGCACAGCAGACACTGATGAAACAAGTAGAAGTGTGGCACTTTTGCATTGTACAAAATACAAAATCTACATGGAAAAATCTATATCCTCCACCTACCCAGTGAACCTTTTCTCCTACACAGAAGACCACTGTGACACTACAAGACCCCTGCTGGAGTTTATCTCCTAATTCAAAACTTAGTTCCTTCAAAGCTACTTCAAGATGACTTGAAGCAAACAGGGTGCAGTCCTCTGGTCCTACCTGACTGCCATAATGCGCACAGGCTGAGACCTCTGCACTTTCTGCCTGGGAGACGTGGGCTGCAGGGCGCTGGATCCTGAGGTGGGCAGCGGGCTGCGGTTAAGCTGGCCATTCTGAAGGAGTGGAGTGGTTTCTGACTGCATACTGCACGTCGAGTACAAACTTTCAAATGATGAATTCATGTCATTTACCAAAGCTTCTAGGTCCACGTCGTCATCTGAAAGGCAAAGTAAAAGCAGCATAACATATGTGAAAGTCGCAGTTAAAATAAATTTGGGAAGATTGATGATTAAATATCAGCCATGTTGTTACATATTCTATAGCTATACCTTTACAGTGCAATTTTTTTTTTACAGAAAAAAAAAATGCAGCTAGTAACTTAAAAAAAAAAACCACTGGGGATCACGTCTGGCTTCTTCAGCAAAAAGCTGAATGCAGTATTTCTACTATAATATTTACTGATCTTTTTAGTATACGTATAGTGTTTACTGACAATTGGTATGATTTTTAATACCAGTGCTGATGTGAAGCACCACTTAAACTGACAGACATCCATTTCCAAGAGCATATCACAAATATCTCAGTTCAGCTTGTCAGTGTATCAAGCTCAGACTGTCAAACAGCATGATAAATAACATTTGGAAGATCCAGTACCCTAAAGACAAAAAAAGGACAGTGTTACACAAGTCAAAAGGTGAACGATGAACACCTCCATTGTATTAAGTGGAAAAATCTATTTTTATAGTTTCCTAAAAACCTCTAATCTGCACATCTGCTTACTTTTGAGACACAGTACTTTGAAGGGTGATACTCAGTTTTTAACTGTCATTCCACTGACTTTATAAGAAGTTTTGTAAGCTTATTCCTGCAATGCACTAAAGAGACTATTGCCTTAAGGAGCTTAAAGTAAATCAACCAGGGATGTGGTATGCACGGTTGGAGGAACATCATTAGTCCCTAAGAAGGGCACCAATCCTTCTGTACATGCCAATTTACCTTCAAGGAAGTAACTCATGTTCATTTGTTCCTCTTTAACAATAATTACTCTGCAAGACAACAAAACTGGGAGCCTTTTGAACTAACCACTCTCTGAACTTCAATCTCAGTCTAATTACTCCCTAGCCACAAGTTACTCTATATCAGAAGTTCAACACACCGAGGAACACACACCTAGATACCTGCTTTTGTTCAGACGCTCACTGTGAAGCAATCAATCACTTCAGACCAAAATCAACTTGGTTTCCAACAATTTGCGCTTTCTTCCAACTATATCAACTGGCCTAGTAAAACATACCAGAGCTGCCTCTAGTTTCTCAAAACTGTTCATGACAGAGATCGATAAAAGCAGAGACAACCAACAGAGCTACCTAACATTTACAAAGCACTAGGAGCTAAAATACGATTCTTGCCTGAAATAAGTACTTACATTGATACTCTGGCCACATTTTCTAGAAATTGTAGACTATCCTGAGCTGGAAGGGACCCGTAAGGATCACCGTGTCCAACGTGAGCCAACAGGAGCAATTTTTCACCTTATGATCCACTACCATTTTATTTATTTATTTATTTATTGAGATGACGTAAGTTATCTTGTACTGGTGTCAACTTTCTGTAGGCATCATCAGAAACAGTATCACTGCACTGACATTGTGTTTGTTTTGAACGCTGACGACCATAATACTGGATGAACTGAAAATCTGTTGAGAAAAGGTGCTAGTCACGTACATACATCTGAGCTCCATTTTATCACTAGAAATATTACATTCCTCAGTTGAAAGTTAGGAGGACCAGTACTAAAGTAAGAACCACTTGGCCTTCACTGAAAATGTACTCATAGCATTTCTAAGTTTGAACATCTATTAAAAAACAAACAACAACAAAAAAAGCACCACAAAACAAACAAACAAAAGAACAGCCCCAAAACCCACCACCACCCACAAACAGGTTTCTTCTTTTTTATTTCTTCATGGCTATTTCCATCAGACTCTGTACTTAATAGGTACTATCCAACTATTAAGATACCTTAGCTAGGCTACACCATCTTCTCTGTCTGCCAGTTCACACATTTTTTAACAGTCTAGTCCTTGCTTTGCTTGGATAAAGTCAACAATAATTTTCAGGCTATTTTGAGGGATCTTGAGGCAAAGTTGCAATTTAAATGTCATTCCATCCTCCACATTCTTATCCTGTTTAGAGAACACATATCTAAATCACTTCTTGAGCAATCAGAAGGGAACCACAAGAGTAGGAGTATAGAAAGGGAGAGGCTGGATTATGTGGCTTTTGAATTTTATCATTCATCTTCAGTACCAGAGGACTAAGCTGTAGGGTTTCAGATGTCTGTCAAATAAAAGCTTAGGAATTGGTGAAGGAGGTACAGAATAAAGACCCTGACCACAGAGTCAATGAGTGAATTACAGCCGCTGACTGTTTAGCAGGAAGGGAAGAAAGTCTAGGCATACATTCTGAGAAAGCCTGTACAACTCTGTCCCTGAGGGTGCTAATTTATTAACAACCTAGGCTATGAGTGTGCAAGATCATTGAGTTTTCATTCAGATGACTGTAACTCATGAGGAACAATTAAGAGCTCAAGCTACCTGACTAACCAAACAGACACAAAGGTGTAATACAAAGTCTTAATAAAGCACAAAATGAGGCACTTCATGCAAAACAGTAAGGGAACCAAGCACACCTCTTAAAGCACTGAATAGCCATTAGCAGGCTTTTAAGCATATCAATTACACACCTAAATTCAATTTCCAACAAGACAGGCGAATATAGACCTTTCTTAATAATATGTTGCACTGAAGTCCAGAATCCGGTTTCACTCCTCTAGTCAGATCCTTTTCTCCAGGGATGAAGCCCTGCTAATTAAAGCCTTCAACAATACTACAGAACTTTTGCAGGAGTGCAGATCCTAAAGCTTTGTGGAGATAAAGCCTTCAATCCTGAATTTCACGCTGTTTCATCTTCATACAATGGCATTTAGTATTAAGTACCATTATGTTCTGTGGAGATTTCAGCACACTGCAATGGGAAACTTCACTGCTGCAGCCTGTCTCAGAAGTGCCAGCAGATGTCTCAGCCTGCCAAGCAATATTTGTGATACGTCTCTCCAGAGCCCAATTAAATAAAATTGGTGATCCACAGGATTTCTGAAATAAGCTTTAATCATTTGCAGGTATAGCATCCAAAAGGAAATTTCGGATACAGTGCAATCCTCCAGAGTACCCTTCCCTACCAACCAGCAAGATTCAATCTCTATCAAGATCACATGTGGAATAAGATGCTGACTGAGCTGGATTTTGAGGAGACTTACTATCTAATAACAAAATTTAAAAATCATAAGCCTCTGAGTCAGTGTGTTATCATGCTGGGCCTCCAAGTACATGCACACACAAATACTGCAACTGATCTGGAAGGATTATCTTTGTTGGTTATAGCAGGCAGAGCTGCAGGTAGCCAAGGAAGCTCTTTCTTTCTCCAGCTATCTTTCAGAGGTACGCTTCCAGGGATGCTAATGACTATTTTCCTTAATCCACATAACATTCTGCACTGAAAGGGGATATTCACCGTCTCCTTTTTTTCTCTGAATTGAACTGCATAGAGGCTAGCTTATCACTTCCATGCACAAACATGGAAGCAGCCTTGAGCTTGAGTTGTTTTTCAAAGAAAACATCGGCAAAAACTAGCTCTGACAAACTCTCATAATTTTATTATCATTTTTTTTTTAATAAAAGAACTTTCAATCTTTATTTTATTTTTTGAGTAGTAAGTTTTTCGGTGGGGGAGAAGATACTGGTAGTTCTGGAGACTTCCTATACCCTAAGAAAATATACTTTGCATGGCAGTGAGCTATACTGGCATGCTTTTCCTCTCCTCAAGTAGAACTGAAGTGCACTCTTTGGCAGCAGTTTGAATGTAATTTTGCTTTTTTGCCTACAATTTGTTAAACTTTGACTTTGTTCACAAACCAGCTCCACTGGATGTTGCAAGTAATATTTTTGATAAATAAGATCATGATTTCAATAACAAGAAAGAATTAAAAAAAAAACAGTCCAAGGCAAGAGAACTCTGTTATAAAAATAAAACCACTATTGAGTTAGTAAGCTAAGCTCTCATGCTCCATAAAAATTAAAGCGCTTTGAATACTATTTGATTGTTTTTGAGCACACCACAGTGGGATGACAGCCACTCAATTAGGTCTGAGTAAACTTCAGTCCGTGCCTAACCAAAGGACTTCCAAGTCCCATTTATCTTTCTGCTTCTAGCCCTCCCTTGTCTCCTAGATCCTAATTTATTTACTTATTTTTGTCCTTGTTGGCCCTGATGTGTCAGCTCAGTAATGGGAACAAGCAGGATCCCACTTGCTCTGAAGCAGGATAATGCTGAAGTGAGTTCTGCTCAGCTTCATCTGTGGCAGCCTCCTGAATTAAGCAGGTATTTCCACGGCTGTCAAGGGGCTCGTTACACTGCAGAGCTTTTGTTTACTGAAAAAGAGCTGAACATGGAAAGAATCCTGGCTCTGGACTGGAGACCAGGTTACATTTTATTTCTCTACATGGCAGCCCAGCAAACGCCCTTCCTTTTCACATACAATCTGGGCAGCTCATAGGGAATACTCTGAAAAGCACGGCAGGAATTAAGTGAGCTGTGATAAAATACTGTATACTTATAATTTCTTTCTTCTTTGCTCATTTCAGAATTTAATTCTTCAGCCTTACTTCTCATATCATTTCACAGAAAAGACCAATGTGCTACTAGGAATTCAGCAGAAGATTTACAGGAAGGCTATACTACCTCTCCATCTCCATGGAAGTGTATTTGATACTATAGGTAACATAACTGTGGGTATATAAACAAGCACTTGATATTACAGTAGGACAGCTGGTGATTTTGATCCTCTGTCCCCATCTGACAGCCTGTGGCAAATCAGTTTGCCCAAACCAGTTTCAGTGCTGAATATTCAGTGCTCAGGTTAGATACTAAAAACAATTTTTCTCAGAAAGGGTGGCAGTGCATCAGAACAGGCTGCCCAGGGCAGTGGTGGCATCACTGTACCTGGAGGTCTGCAAGAAACATATGCAGGTGGCACTTAAGGACATGATTTAATGGGTATGCTGATGATGGATCAATAGCTGGACTAGATTATCTTAGCAGTCTTTTCCAACGTTAATGATTCTATGATATTCAAGAACCTACTTGGCAAAGCTCAGG